CGCAAAGTTTCATTGTTTTTCTTCTTCAAGGTCAGCAGAACCCCAACATCTTAGGCTGCTTACTACTTGTAATGAACCGAACTGTAAACTGCTCGATCAATTATGGCCACCCGTTAACTGAATCCTTCGACAAATCGTCAAACCACTTTATGGCCAACTCTCCCAGGCTGCTAGGGAAAATTGTGCAAAGCAAGGGTTCGTTTCTTCGATGAAAGGTCATCAATTGTCTATAATGCCTGATATGAAAGGCCGGATTGGTCTTTCCATCGTAAAGACTAAAATTTGGGACAACAAACTTGCTCGGGATTCTCCCACTTTCGATCCATGCAATGAAAGTTGACGACTCTGAGCCGTCTCTGTATTCTCTTGTCGCTCTTCTGGCTAGGTCCCTTGCCGATCTCTGTTCTAGTCGTTTAAGATGGTTGTTGAGCTCCTCGGTGATGTACTGTTTCTAGGTGTCATCCTCCTGGATCTCAGATTTCTTTTGTTGGTACTTATCGTCATTAGGACTCTTGGTTCTGACATGCTTCTTTTCGGGACTTTCTCATTGGCTGTCTCTCCTTTGCTTATCTTTCTTGGACATCTCCTTTAGCTTGGCTATCAATTCTTCGTTTTCCTTTATTAGGTCCTTTTCCCTGGCATAAGATTTTTTAAACAAATTGTCATGAGCATCAAGTCAGTCCTGTAGGGATTGGACTAACTTTGCCAGTGAATGGTTTTCCCCCTTGACACGGAGGGATTCACCACGGTATTGTCCACGCTAGTTCTGATTCATGGTTCGTTTGTGACTTGCTGAGGATACCTCATCATCCTCATGGGGCCCAGATGGGCTTTTGTCCATACGCAACCTAGCGTTGCTATCAGATGGAAGTGATACAGGATCTAAATTTCCCATGGCAAAGTTGCGTACAAGTGATCCAATGACACTTCTAAGTTTTGACATCGTAGCTTTTCTTTTCGAATCATAAAAATCTTCCCACAGACGATGCCAAAAAATGTAAGAGGCAAAAAATTAACGATACCTCCTACAATAATGATGAATGAATGTCTTTGATAATGAGTGAATTCAGAACTCAGGAATCTCAATCTCTTTCCTGTAAAACGAGCAAATTGTCCAAGATCAAAGTGTTTCGATCGAAGGCACTCCGATGCTTAAATCAGTAACAGGATTGAAACGAATGAAAGAAGACAAGTAGAGTTCTCCGTACCTTTCACCTTCGTTTCTTCTGTTTTTTATAGTTGGTTATCCCATTAGGGTTTTCGCGATTTTTGATTCAAGGTGGCACACCTTCCTTCAATTCAGCGATGTAGTTTGGGAAGTTGCTGATATTTCTCCAACAATTCCTCTTGATATCCGCAATCCTGTTCATTCAAAATACCTAAGTTAAAAGCTTCTATTTATCTTTCTATCTTCTGTTTCAAACAGCTCGGTCATATTGAAAGTTGAGCACTTGCCGAACACATTGATCAACTCGGTTTGATAAAAGCCGAGCTCATCCATTGGTTTGCCGAATAGTATTGGTTAGTTTGACTAGGACCATTTAATTGAATAGTTGATACCTCCAACATGTGTCTTGTGTTGTCAACCTCACGTGAGCTTATTAAATGCCATAATACGTGTAATAATGGGGGTCAGCCCCTTCTTACTATTGTGCTGTCGCTCTAGCTTGTCCGACCTCTCTTGTGTGGAATACACTAATAGAAGTTCAATATCATTAGCTCGCAAACTGTAGAATTACAGAAATTAAGTAAAGCAAAGGAGAAAAAAATAAAGAGAATATAAAACACCATGGTCATACTTTCACACAATGCCATGGTCAAATTTGTTATGCTGAACAGCCTTTGAAACTTGAAAGTAGGCGCTATTTAAGGAGGTCACAGTACAAAAATAATAAAATGCTATTTGCACTTACAATATTGACCTAATTTATCGATTTAATTAATTATTATTATTGATTTTACCGTAAGTCCTTGTATTTATTAGGATTTATAACTAATTTAATGGTTATGATTGGTTAGATTAACATAAGAATCTGAAATTACAACACAGCCCTATCTCTTAAAAACAAAAAAGATTCAATCTTGCAAGACTTGCCTTCTCAAAAATAAAGTTTTTCTTTGGCTGTTATTTCTTTACTAGCAAAAGAATAACTGCATCAATTTGAGTATGAGCTTCATAGATGTAGTGGCATACTTACGATTGAATGAAGCATGACTGATAATGGTGGTTGATGTTGAAATTTGACAGGACCCGGATGGGGACGGTACTTCGTTGGTCCACTTCAATTGGGCATATGCTATGGTGCAGTTATTGCTTGTACACTTCTAGGAGGGCAAAGCCTAAAGGTTAGTATGTGGTTTACCTCAAGCTCAGTGTACTGGTATTGGGTTTGTACGGTGTCTCATGCCTGGAATGTTGAAATTTATTTAACTCATACATGATATTTCATAATCATTTATAATTAAATTCGTATTGTGTGAGATTTGTAACTGGATTTGTATTTTAGGAAATTGGATTTATATTATCCCATTCAATATCGAATTGGTTTTTCTTTATGTGCTTCAGTCTTAGCCACTGATAACTTGAATATTTTCCAATAGAGTAGAGTTGTTATAGAGGACGACATGGGAACATCCCGTCTTCTAAAGCTAGTGAGAAAGGGAGTCACTTAGCGATTTTGGATAGAGTACTCTATCTTATAGGCCAAAGTTCAACGATCTCACGTCCCAATAGTGTGAATTGAGACAAGCAAATTTCTAAGTGAGAATAGATACCTCATGGATAGGGCACACGAGCCTATACACGAGTCTGGTGGGTGACCTGATTATTACACAAACTTACTAAGACTAAACTAATACGTGGTCTTTCGTTGGTTTCATGTCTAGTGCGCATATCCTATTAAAAGTTTGTTTTTTTTGCTTGTGGGGTTGCAGTTTATTTACTTGGTGGCCAGGCCAAATGGGAGTATGCAGCTGTACCAATTTGTGGTTATCTTCGGAGGCTTCACGCTGGTCATGGCACAAATGCCATCCTTTCACTCCCTCAGACATATCAACCTTGTCTCCCTTGTTCTCTGTCTTTCATATTGTGCTTGCACCACCGCTGGCGCCATTTACATCGGTAATAAATCCTATCGCTTGCCAAGTCCATTTTTTAAGTAACATTTCATCCAAATTATTAATGTTTGTTATAAATTTAGCAAAAAGTTATTTCATTTTGACCACTTTACCCTGATACATTACCAGTTTTCGTCCAAAACAATAGTGGATGTTTGGGATTGGAGTAATGTAAAATAAGTCAAGTAATTGAGGGGATAATATGAAAAAATTTAATAGTTCGAAACAAAATAATATCACATTCATAGTTTAGGAAGTCAAAGTGTAATTTAGCCAATTTTATAGTAAAAAATTTATATATGTGATTCAACTTGGAGGACCAGAACAACAACGTAGGATAAAGAAAAAAAAAACAAAACATTTATCAAATAGGACCTTACAAATGACGACTGTGATTCTCTAACAGGAAATTCCAAGAATGCTCCTCCGAAGGACTATTCTTTACAAAGAGATGGTGCAAGTCGTATGTTTGGGGTTTTCAATGCTATTTCAATCATTGCCACCACATATGGCAATGGAATTATCCCCGAAATACAGGTGCTTAAATCACTTCTTTCATCTTATCGTTAGTATGTTTGCCAATAGTACAAATTTTAATAAAATTTTAATGATTTGATTTTAATTTAAAAACTTCAATCTAAATATGAAGTGATTATGTATCAAATTTTATTTGTTAAAAATTATAAATTTGATACGATCCAAATGACTTAATAGAAGTTATTTTTTTGGAAATTACACTTATTTTAGTTCAATCTCATCAAATAACCCTTCAATTTAAAATTGAAATTAGATGATACTTGGATGGGATGTTGGTGTATACAAATCCGAAACTATGATGCATGATTAGACAGATTTGAATTAGGATTATCGGTCAAAAATATAAATTTATATCCAACTAATTCTATTCGGATGGAATTCAAATCAAAACTCAATTCATTGATAGACCTATTTATCGGAGTGATTAAAGAAAGTTCAGCACATACTTTGGTATCCATTATTGGGGGTGTTGAGAGGAATGAAACGATCTAATATATGTACAAAGCAAGTGTCATTGGGATTAGGATCCCCTCTAATATTTTTTTCTTGCAACGCGCTTTTTGACAAATTATTCACTATTAATAAATGAGTAACTCACTTATATACATTGGGTTGTACTTATTGATATATAGAAGAGAATCTCTGTTGATTTGAAACTACTACCTCAAGTTTATCCTCCAATTTTTTGTAGGCCACAATAGCTCCTCCAANGGTATTGGGTTTGTACGGTGTCTCATGCCTGGAATGTTGAAATTTATTTAACTCATACATGATATTTCATAATCATTTATAATTAAATTCGTATTGTGTGAGATTTGTAACTGGATTTGTATTTTAGGAAATTGGATTTATATTATCCCATTCAATATCGAATTGGTTTTTCTTTATGTGCTTCAGTCTTAGCCACTGATAACTTGAATATTTTCCAATAGAGTAGAGTTGTTATAGAGGACGACATGGGAACATCCCGTCTTCTAAAGCTAGTGAGAAAGGGAGTCACTTAGCGATTTTGGATAGAGTACTCTATCTTATAGGCCAAAGTTCAACGATCTCACGTCCCAATAGTGTGAATTGAGACAAGCAAATTTCTAAGTGAGAATAGATACCTCATGGATAGGGCACACGAGCCTATACACGAGTCTGGTGGGTGACCTGATTATTACACAAACTTACTAAGACTAAACTAATACGTGGTCTTTCGTTGGTTTCATGTCTAGTGCGCATATCCTATTAAAAGTTTGTTTTTTTTGCTTGTGGGGTTGCAGTTTATTTACTTGGTGGCCAGGCCAAATGGGAGTATGCAGCTGTACCAATTTGTGGTTATCTTCGGAGGCTTCACGCTGGTCATGGCACAAATGCCATCCTTTCACTCCCTCAGACATATCAACCTTGTCTCCCTTGTTCTCTGTCTTTCATATTGTGCTTGCACCACCGCTGGCGCCATTTACATCGGTAATAAATCCTATCGCTTGCCAAGTCCATTTTTTAAGTAACATTTCATCCAAATTATTAATGTTTGTTATAAATTTAGCAAAAAGTTATTTCATTTTGACCACTTTACCCTGATACATTACCAGTTTTCGTCCAAAACAATAGTGGATGTTTGGGATTGGAGTAATGTAAAATAAGTCAAGTAATTGAGGGGATAATATGAAAAAATTTAATAGTTCGAAACAAAATAAAATCACATTCATAGTTTAGGAAGTCAAAGTGTAATTTAGCCAATTTTATAGTAAAAAATTTATATATGTGATTCAACTTGGAGGACCAGAACAACAACGTAGGATAAAGAAAAAAAAAACAAAACATTTATCAAATAGGACCTTACAAATGACGACTGTGATTCTCTAACAGGAAATTCCAAGAATGCTCCTCCGAAGGACTATTCTTTACAAAGAGATGGTGCAAGTCGTATGTTTGGGGTTTTCAATGCTATTTCAATCATTGCCACCACATATGGCAATGGAATTATCCCCGAAATACAGGTGCTTAAATCACTTCTTTCATCTTGTCGTTAGTATGTTTGCCAATAGTACAAATTTTAATAAAATTTTAATGATTTGATTTTAATTTAAAAACTTCAATCTAAATATGAAGTGATTATGTATCAAATTTTATTTGTTAAAAATTATAAATTTGATACGATCCAAATGACTTAATAGAAGTTATTTTTTTGGAAATTACACTTATTTTAGTTCAATCTCATCAAATAACCCTTCAATTTAAAATTGAAATTAGATGATACTTGGATGGGATGTTGGTGTATACAAATCCGAAACTATGATGCATGATTAGACAGATTTGAATTAGGATTATCGGTCAAAAATATAAATTTATATCCAACTAATTCTATTCGGATGGAATTCAAATCAAAACTCAATTCATTGATAGACCTATTTATCGGAGTGATTAAAGAAAGTTCAGCACATACTTTGGTATCCATTATTGGGGGTGTTGAGAGGAATGAAACGATCTAATATATGTACAAAGCAAGTGTCATTGGGATTAGGATCCCCTCTAATATTTTTTTCTTGCAACGCGCTTTTTGACAAATTATTNATGCTTTTTGACAAATTATTCACAATTAATGAATGAGTAACTCACTTATATACATTGGGTTTTACTTATTGATATATAGAAGAGAATCTCTGTTGATTTGAAACTACTACCTCAAGTTTATCCTCCAATTTTTTGTAGGCCACAATAGCTCCTCCAATCAAAGGCAAGATGTTCAAAGGGCTGTTGGTGTGTTATGCAGTTGTGTTCTCCACTTTTTTCAGCGTTGCAATCTCTGGGTATTGGGCATTTGGAAATCAGTCTCAGGGCTCAGTTCTTTCCAATTTTATGGTTGGTCACAAGGCTTTGGTGCCAAAATGGTTTCTTGTAATGACCAATGTCTTCACTCTTGTCCAAGTATCGGCTGTCAGTTTGGTAAGAACACTGTTTAATACGAATACCAGTACTTAAAGAGATGAGGGAACGCAATGGCTAAGAACACTACGGGGAGAAATGCAACCTCTACTAAATTTCAAAAATTAAAAAGTATATAGTATTTACTAAGTGACTCTAACAATTGTGTAGAATTCGTCCTCCTCCCCCCATTTTATATTTCATTTGACAACTACCCGAAAAATATGTTCACAGCGTTTGTCATCCCCTCTTGTATGCCCAATTCCTCGATCCGTCTCTGGCTAGCTCTCTACACATATTATCTCACTTATTTGCCAATTTGATGCAGGTCTACTTGCAACCAACAAATGTAGTTATAGAGCGCCAGTTTGCCAACCCAAAGAAGGACCAATTTTCCATCCGAAATGTTGTGCCGCGACTGATATTCCGGTCACTGTCAGTAGCCGTAGCAACAACTTTGGCTGCAATGTTGCCCTTCTTTGGAGACATCATGGCATTATTTGGGGCATTTGGTTGCATTCCTCTAGATTTTATCTTGCCCATGATTTTCTACAATGTCACATTCAAGCCCTCCAAGAGAACCTTAATTTTTTGGGGCAACAGCCTCATTGCCATCGTCTCCACCGTGTTATCGTTGATAGGGGCAGTAGCGTCAGTGCGACAGATGGTTCTTGATGCCAAGACATATCGTTTGTTTGCTAACATACAATGAGAACAAAGATCATACTCAATACACAAGAAACAACTGCGGGTTCAGTTCCACATATATGTATGGGTAACTTCTAGGAAACAAAGATAAGAATGTATTATACAATGTATGGACTATATTTGAAGCATTCAGCATTTGTAAGATCTGCAAATTGACGTTGTAACTAGCTTAACTACTGCTAGAGCTTCAAATTTAATTTGGTTTTCTAGTCATATCAAAATAGTAACTACTGCTATAGATTCAATGATCCCCAAAATTTTTCCCCAACAAACTCCAAAATTAACTCAGAAATAAGCTCTCACGGATAAAAAATTACACAACCCTCCAGGACTAGTAGTATTGTTATTCACTATAATCAATATGCATGGACTTGCACACTTAGTCATAGTAACTACCCGCCAATGGCAAATCTTCAATTCCTCAAATTGGGAAGCTTTTGCTCCATTACTTGTAAATTTGCACATTAAATTTTAATGAAGAAACACATGATAGGATTTTGCGATTTCAATTCAAATGAGATATCTACAATTTTCAAGTAATTTTGTGCATCCAAAATTTGACTTTTTTGTACCAGAACAGTGTAGTTTTCTAACTTAATTATTTTTTTTCTGTATTGTCAAACTTATTTTGCCAATCTAGTGTAATATATATAAAAGCACGACTTTTTTTTTTGTTTTATACAAACAAAACCATGAATTAAATTCATGATTTTTAACGTGAAATCATGTTTTAAAAACACACTTTGATTAAAACATATTGGGAACGTATTTTGAAAGCACGCTTTTATAGGAAAAAACATGAAACTTCGGGTGTGTGTGGATTGCATATAAAATAATTAGTTATTATCCGTGTCTGAAGACACTGTACAACCAAAAAGAATTAACTACAAAAAAAATGAGCTTTAACAAGAGAAAAAACGATGCACATAATAATAACAAATAAGTATCTCTTGCCGATGAATATATAAAACAAACGGACAAAATTACCTTTAAAAATATAACTTAAAAAATTTGAATACATGTATACACAATTTGCATATTTTATCATCTTACCTTAAAAAACTATTAATTCATTCATCATTGACACAATATTCATTTCCACTTTTTGCCAACTACAATTAATGAAACACAAACCACCACTTTTATTGGGTTTAAAAGATCAAAACAATCAAGCAAAATTAGAACCTGCAATATAAATTATGCTTTTTGATAGTTAATAAACAAAATGAAAGACATTTATTTCCCTACAACGAGGTCAATCCCCTAATACTAACTTATGAGTCCAAAATCAACTGGGTCAAGCCCAATAAATCAAAAAAGGCCCAAGTCATCAGTGCCCAAAAGGAGCCCAAGTTACCAACGCTCGAAAGAGCTGCCCAAGGGGGCGCCGCCCAAGGAGGTCACCCAAGCCACTGGAGTCGCCCATGGGTTAGCCCTCATGTCTCTCTTTCGACCTCCTCACTTTGCCACTTCGATCCAATCGGACCCAGCTCAGGATTCTCCTCCCGAAGAAATAAGAGCATGAGGGAGAGAATATCAGGATACGCATAGAAATCTAATTCTACCTTAATCGTACCAACCAAAATAGTAGTGACCGCCTCACGTCACCGCTTCACCATACCTATATAATGTAAGCCATCTCCACATAAAGGGCATCACCTTGAGGTCTCACACACCTATCTACACTTCAAGTCTCTCTCTCTCTCTCTCTCCCAAAGCATTGTAATTCTCCCGGAGTACACTCTTCCGGTGACTTTTATTCATCAATAAAGATCTCCAGCCACCGCTGTCATTTTCAAGGGTGAAGTAGGTCACCCGGACAAAACCACTATAAATCTGTGTGTTTACTCTTATTTACTATTTTGTCATTAACTACCTATTACTGTTCATTAATTGCACTATTACATATACTCGACTGTTGATCTTGCGCAATACCAATTTACACGTCATCAGTTTGGCGCCGTCTATAGGAAACGACTAGGTTTTCTACTCTCTTTAACTCATGGTAATCAAGACTCGATCGATGAGTCAGCAACCGGGAGATAACAACTCAACCCACCGGGAAAAGGCTCTACCTGCCTTCGGACCCTCGGAACCACTGTTATGGTTACCCCGGTCGTCGGGCAACAGCTTCTATAAACCATGCAGCTGTTGGTAAACCAAAACTAGCAAATAATTCAACTGATGCTCGTCCAGGGAGGCGTCGCCCCTCACCCCGTAGGAGGAGCCCCACTACCTCCAATAGGAGAGGAGCAAAAACCCATTCCTTCTTGGCGTCATGCAGCCCCTCACCAAAACACCCTAGGGCCACACCAGGGCACTCCTCGCTCATTAGTCCCTCCTCAGCACTCAGGAAACTCATGCGTTCCCCCTCTACACGTACCTGCGTAGGAGGACGAAGGAAAGAGCCAATATGGCGATCATGGAAGCCAGTACCACCACCCAACGGAGGATGTCTCCAATCAATGGGACGAGAAGATCAGAGAGGTGCAAAACTAACTCGGTGATGCCCTCAACGCCATCAAGGAACAAGCGCCCGAGACGGTGGACTACTTGGTAAGACATATTGATACACCCTTCACTGTTGATATAGTCAACTATCCCTTGCCCTCGAAGTTCAAGATGCCTACCATCAAGATATTTGACGGTACTAGAGACCCCCTTGACCATCTTGACACATACAAATATCTTATGCAACTCCACAACGTGCTTGAGGAGATAATGTGCAGAGCCTTCCCTACCACCTTGAAGGGCTCTGCTCGTCAATGGTTCACAAAGATCAAACCCTCCTCCATCCACTCCTTCGCGCAACTGAGTAGGTCCTTTGTCTCCCACTTCATTGGGGGACGCCAACATCAGAAGCCCGTGACTCACCTGCTCACCATGAAGCAGGACAGGGATGAAAGCCTTAGAGACTACCTCGCTCGTTTTAACGAGGAGGCTCTCTAGATTAAGGAGCCAGATGATAAGGTAGTCTTTATCGCTGGTTTTTGCCCCTCCAGTTTCATGTTCTTCGTACTCAAGAAACCACCTTTCAGCATGCCCGAGCTACTATCTAGGGTACAAAAATACATAAATGTCGAGGACGTCACCAAAGTCCGTAGGGGTGAGTCCTCCCGAGGAAAGAAGAGGAAGGACACCTGCAAAGACAGGAGGGAGGTAGAGAACAAGAGGAAGAAAGTTGACAGAGTTTCTGTAAATGACCGTCTCAGTCTATAGCCCCTAAGAGACCGACAGCCTTTCACACCACTTAATGCCTCAGTGGAGCACATCCTATTCCAGATACAAGATGATCCCATGATCTGTTGGCTTAGGAAGACGAAGTCTGACCCCAAGCGCAGAAATCCTAGCAAGTACTATCGCTTCCATCGCGACCACAGTCATGACACAGATGACTGTTTCCAGTTAAATAGGCAAATTAAGGAGTTTAATCAGCGTGGCTAGCTGATGGCAATCTTGTCGATTGGAACGATTTTGTGTCGGGTGAAACGGGTTTGTGTCAAAAAATTCTTCATCCATACCCCATTCGTTTATATAAACGAATTCAACTATCACATCCATACACGAATCATTTATTAGACGGGTTACCTAATACAACCTGTGTGTCACCCGCTAAATAAGAGAATAAGTTAAAGTATTTCGAATCAACACGAAAAATCATCAATTCACCTCACATTATACATATATAACGTGTTTACTATAACAATGAATTATGGTTGAGCAAAAAAATAAAGACAAAAAGTAAACATTAAATGACTTCTAAATTTGAATGAGTCTGAGAGATGGGAGGTGTGAGATGAGGCAGAGGCCGAGAGACCTAACTTTTTTAAAAAAAATTATAGTACCATTGTTAACGGGGTTAAATGGGTTCAAACGAGTTTATGAGTTAAACACAAAATCGATTCTTTTATTTCACGGGTTTGCCGAGTTAACCCGTTAACCACCCAAACCCATTAAATTCGTGTTGGGTTCGTGTCAGTTTCACGAGTCGTGTCTAAAATTGTCAGGCCTAGCTGGGACAGTATATTGTTGGTCGAGGACCAGCTCTATCACACGAGGTACGAGAGCACCAGCAGCCCCTCGGAGAGATCGAGACTATCGCATAAGGGTTAAGAGGAGGAGGTGACTCCAACTCCACCAGAAAGGCACACGCCTAGAGAACCAGATAGACAAAGTCACACAACTCTCACCCAAAGTAGACACCCCGACATGGGGAGGAGGAGGTCATCACCTTTTCAGACATAAACCTTTAGGGGATTCAGGTCCCACATGATGACCATATGGTCTTGACCCTGATGGTGGCCAACTACCAGATTAGGAGGATCCTGGTCGATAGCGGCAGCTCAGCCGACATTCTGTTTGCGACAGCCTATGACAGCCTTCACCTCAGCGGAGAGAGACTACAGCCTGTCAGGAATCCTTTGGTTGGTTTTTCAGGAGAGAGTGAGTTCATCCCTTGAGATCTATCACCCTGCCTATCATAGTAGGAACTGCACCGAGGAGCTCTACTATTATGATAAATTTTCTTGTAATTTACTGTCCTTCTGCTTACAATATAATACTTGGACGCCCTGCCCTCAACGCTTTAAGGGTGGTGCCGTTAACCTACCACCTCCTCCTCCGTTTCCCAACCTCCAATGGGGTTGGGGAGATTAAAGGAGATCAAGTTTCAGCCAAAGAGTGCTATGTGGCCTCTATGAGGCCTAGGAGACCACACAAGACTCTCCAAGTCGAAGTGATTGACCCCAGAGATGACAGTACCTTGGAAAGGGGGGAACCAACAGAAAAACTCTGCCCTATAGTAGTGGATGATAGCCTTCCATAGAAGAAGGTCTAAATAGGCTCCCCACTCTCCCAAGAGCAGGCCTCTGCCTTGATTGACTTCCTAAGGCAGAACATAGACATCTTCACCTTGTCACACAAAGACCTAAAGGGCATCGACCTCGGAGTGGCCTCCTGCCGACTCAATGTTGATCCCAGATACAAGCCTGTATGCTAGAAGTTGAGGAATGTAAGTGCAAAGAGGGGGCAAGCCATGGAGAATGAGGTAGACAAGCTATAGACGAATGGGTCAATGAGGGAAGTAGCTTACCCAGACTGGCTATCCAACGTACTGATAGTGACAAAGGCCAATAAAAAGTGGCACCTCTATGTGGACTTCATAGAGCT